TGTGCACGTACACGTGCGTGCGTGCGTGCGTGCGTGTGTGCGCGCGTGTGCAGGTACACGTACACGTGCGTGCATGAGTGTGTGCGTGCGTGTGCACGTACACGTGCGTGCGTGCGTGCGTGCGTGCGTGCGTGCGTGTGTACGTACACGTGCGTGCGTGCGTGTGCCCGTTCACCTGCGTGCATGCGTGCGTGCGTGTGCACGTACACGTGTGTGCGTGCGTGCGTGCGTGCGTGTGTGCGCGCGTGTGCAGGTACACGTTCGTGCGTGCATGAGTGTGTGCGTGCGTGTGCACGTACACGTGCGTGCGTGCGTGCGTGCATGCGTGCGTGCGTGTGCACGTACACGTGCCTACGTGCGTGCGTGCGTGCGTGTGTGCGCGCGTGTGCAGGTACACGTTCGTGCGTGCATGAGTGTGTGCGTGCGTGTGCACGTACACGTGCGTGCGTGCGTGCGTGCGTGCGTGCGTGCGTGTGTACGTACACGTGCGTGCGTGTGCACGTTCACCTGCGTGCATGCGTGCGTGCGTACGTTGCGTAGATAGATATTCCGTTGCATGCGCTAACACACTAACGTAGCCAGATTGTGTACTGCCTTGCATCGGCAGCGGGCACCGTACATGCAAGGTCTTTTTCCTATTTCTTAAGTGAGGTCTACTGATAGAATGTTATTATATAAATCTATGCCAGGGTGACTCCTCTTCATTTTAAAAGCATTATTTTTACACAATATTGTGTGATATATTTTGCTCGTGAGATATTGCGCATGTGCGAGCACCGGCCCTTTCGATCAGGCGTGCAGTACGGACTGAAGAAAACTGTACGATTTAGCTTGCTGAGAGAGGGGGGTGGGAGACTGAGGAAATGCGACAGGAACGATAACTGAGGGGGCTGGAAGAGAAAAGAGGCTGAACGATAGACAAGTGATCAGGCAATGCATGAGGAGGACGGGGGTAGTGGCAGTAGGAGTTTTGCACCCTATACAGGCTAGGGTGCTCTCCTAATTATAAACACAGGTCTACCGATAACAATTTTTCACAGAAATCTATGCTGAGATACCCCCTAACCATATTAAATGCATATTCATAACAAAGTATAACTCGATCCTCTGGTGAGATGTTGCGCATGCGTTAACACGTACACTAACGTAGCCAGATTGTGTAGGGCCTACTGACTTGCACCTGTAGGCAGCGGGCACCTTACATGCACGGTCTTCTTCCTATTTCTTAAGTGAGGTATACTGATGGAATTTTATCATATAAATCTATGCTAGGATGACTCCTCTTCATTTTAAATCCGTTATTGTTGTGTCCGACATCTGACAAAAATTCATATATCTTGGTAAATTTAAACTATAGCATAATGGAAAAATCAGCGTGGGTAGCTATAAATAGCTACTATATCATTCAAACTTAACTTATATCTTAAATTGTAACTTAACGCGTCTAGGTTTTGATATATGCTAACATTGAGTTTGAGATATTACATATGAGTATAACATTGAGATATATGCTAACAGCTAGTTTTGATATGCTAACATACGTGAGCGCGTATATGGATTTGCACTGTGCTTTTGCCCGGCGGTGCGATATAAAGCGCACGGCCATCCCGTCTGCCGTAAAACACCAGAACATCTATACCGGCAGCCGCACCGATAACGATGATGGCTACTGCAGGAACGATCGGGCCGCACAGTAAAAAACACGTTTGTTACTACTACGATGGTATGTGTATCAACTTTTTGGTATAATTGTAATAGGTATTTATTATAGATGTCGTTCAGAAAAGCAAAGATACATAGTTTCTTGTATTTCATAGGAAAATATAATTTCATTCCACCTGAGTTTGCCGACCGCTTAGTGACGAACAAAGCCTTCCTCGTATGCGATGATATTCTGTAAAATGGTTCATGCGTGTTTTTAAATTATAATCATTCGTGAAATAGTTCGAAAACATATATCGTGTTATTTTTGCCAATTTTCTAAATATAATTACTAGCGGAAGTTAGTGAAACTAGACTAGTGTTAGAGCCTAGAGTCTGGGCATTTCTCGAGTATTGATAATGTACGGTGGCTGAGAATGTTTTGCGCCACTGCGTGAGCTGTGCCAACGGCAGTCAGTACAGTAGGCGTCAAGCAGCCAGATATATCTATCTAGTTATATCTAGCCCTTTTGTAGGCACTAGAACAGTAGTACTAGTAGTTACCCGGATTTACCGGAGGTAACTGAATTATGTATTACGTCTACGGAGATGATGTCTAAACAAATATTGCACTGCAAACTGAAACATTACATTGCAAGCATCCCACAGCCACTCCTCATAACTTCATAAAATATTTACGCAGTGGATATTTAACCGTATACGGCAGAGTCTCCACTTCCGCTATTTTACCGTACAGTATTTCTGATTGGCTAGTATATTTATGTATGTGTATATATGTATGTTAGTATATTATGAATGTGTTCAAAAGATTTCGTATTGGAAACGTGATTCACAGAAAATAGCTTCTAAGTTCTATGATCAAATGAAATGTGTAGAAATAAATGGGATTTGAACCTAAAAGTTTTCTAGATAGCTAACCTATTGGGATTCGAACGTAATGTTGATGACGTCATAAATATACTAGCCAATCAAATGTAGTGTACGGTAAAATAGCAGAAGTGGATACTCTGCCGTATACGGTTAAATATTCACTGCCTAATATTTGTTAGTCTTCAAAGTTGAAGGGACTAGATATCGAAGAGGGAAAGAGACAAGTTGATCAAATAGACAGGTCAACACTGCGGATTACAGTAGAAAAGCCTCAAATTTGAAATTAAAGGCTCACAATGCGCATCCAAACGCTAATTTCTCCAGTACTAGACTAGCAAATACTTCGTGGCATGCATAATCACACTACCTTATGACAAAATAAACTCTAGTTCCTCCCATTTCACTGCACGTTGTCTTATTATAAACGCTGTGGCTATATGC